CCGAACCCCCCGCCCGCGGAGCCCCCACCACGGGCCAACGTCCCCGGCGCCCCCGCCCCCACGCGGGTAACAGTACTTGGTTTTCGAAGCAAATTTCTTGAGTAGGTTCTTGCCGCAGGAGACAGGCGAGCTGTGCAGGCCTCGAGCGCCGCCCAGAAGGAGCCCCACATGGAGGCCCCTGGCCCCGCCGAGAGTCGCCCACATGTCAGCCGAGCGACGGCCTACCGGGTGACGCGAGGCGGGGTGAGGTTGGCGGTGAGACGTGGGGCGGGGAAACGCGGGGCGGAAAGACGTGCAAACGGAACGACGTGAGGCGGCTCGGGGCGACGTGGGGCGAGGCGACGTGTGAAGTCGCCGGGAGACTGTGGGCGGGACGAGAGGACGAGGCGGCATCTGGAGGACAGGTAGGCGGGACGTGAAGCGGCGGGGCGGAGCGACGTGCGGCTAGGGCCGGGGACAGGCGTGACGACGCGTGAGGGAGGGGTGGCCAGACACGGCGTGGGTGGGGTAGTAGGCGGGGCCGGGTGACGTGAGGACGGGACGCATGTGGGCGGGGCCAGACGACACGTGGTGGAGAGCGGGGGCCTGATGACGTAACTGAGGAGCGGGGACGGGACGTGATGACGTTTTGCGGGAGCAGGGCCAGCTGGCGCGTGGGCGGAGCGACTGGGCCACGCCCCCGCCGTTCTCCCGCGGCGAGCTGGGTTCAGCCAGGGGCCGCCGAGTGTAAGGGAGGTTGGGACTCGGTGGTGGGGAAGCGCACAAGCCACCCGGATGCGGAGATTGCGGAGCGAGGAATACACTTTACAGAAACGCACGAAGCTAACAGAGAAGGGTGCATTTCAACTCCCTTGCCACGGAATATCAAATGAAGAGCAGGGAGGTAAGAGGTCTTAACTGGGTGGGCGTCCCGGAGCAGAGCCCCTTCTGCCTGCACCACTAGGAAGGACTCGAGTTTCTTCCTCTTTACGCTGCCAGTTCGTTTGCTCACTTCCTGTAATACCTCCTCACCAGTCTACGTGGAGAAAGACACAGCTTCCAAACTACTCCAGAAAGTAGGATAGTCACCTCAGACCCCTCTTCATGGTCATCCCTGATAATTCCATACTGGGCACTCTTCCCACTAGTAAGTAAACCGCTTGACAGTGGGGGCTTTTTTTCCTATAGCAGCCCCAGCACTTAGAACAGGACTTGGCACATAGAAGGTGCTCAGTAATCCTTTTTTTTTGAATGATTGAAACAAATGGATAGTGATTAGAGTATCAGGGGGCCTATGTAGTCCAATAAAGTATCAGAATTTATCAGGATCGAAAGCAACATAGCTCACTGGGCAATCCGCAGACCTAGTGCAGGCTTTTGGACTTTGCACAAGTAATTCTCTGCCCAGTTTCATCATGAATCATAACAACGTAACTTCCCTCATACAGCTGCCCTGAGGATGAAGTGAGAGTGTAAGGAAAGCATTTAACAAACTCTCAACGGGTGGTAACTATGATTACTATTCCTTAAGTTTTTCATCTAAGTAGTATTAATTCAATCTATATAATGGACTCTTAACATACAAAGTAAGTGTTTTCTGTCCATTTAATCTGCCATGTTTTCATCCCATTGAATTCTCAGCCCACATAAATCATTTAAATAGCACTTCATTAGGAATAGGAAGGCCATTGAGAGAAGCCAGGATGCTTTCAACCAAATTTTCCATTGTCTGTCGTCTTGCTTGATGAGTTGCACTTCCAGTGTGAGGTGTCAGAGTGACGTTCTTCAACTCCAACAAAGGATGATCTCTGAAATACAGATTAATTGAGGAAAACTATTCAGAGTCGTTTCGCTTCTTTAATGTCATGTTATGGTTTCATATCCCCTACCCTGAGATGGGGAAGGCTGTGGGAGCCTTATGGCGTACTCTTAATGACACCTAGGTGTGACCACTGCTCATCTAACCCTGGTTTGGTTTGGTTGACCCAACATTTCTGGGTGTAAAATATGTATCCTAACTGCACCCAGGCCATTAGTTCACAATTGCACAACATGCATGATGGATTAAATGACACTGACCCACAGGACAAGAAAGGGCCTTGGGGAATTAGGTGTTGACCTAGGCATCATGGGACAAGCTGAATGTGCCTTTAATGGGAATAGCATTCAGAGGGGAAAGATTAACTAGAATTAGCAGATTAGAGGGAGCTCTCTTCCGGGAAGAAGGCAAAGGATGGGAGTTAGCCTGGAAAGATAATGAGGTTTTAGTGAAGTGGGTCAGCCAGACTCAAGCATAATGATGGATAATATTAGCACCCAGGATTGGGAAAGTGCTATGACCCGGCCCAACGGGCATCCTGACTATTTTAATACAGAGGCCAAAGTAGACATGTGGCAGTGGTCCCCCATCATAGATACTGAGGCTCAAGGGGCACACCCTTGAGAATCTTACGGACCCCCAAACCTATGGAAGTTCTCTGGGGCACCTGTAATTTATATCAATGCAGTTTGACTGCCCTCACCTCCAGGAATGACTGAAGTAAGACATACCCTGTGGTACAGTTAGCAGTGGTAGAAACTATTCTGAAAAATACTCATCCTCCCCTTATGAAGGAGGTGGGTCCTACTATATAACAGCACATGCTGGAAAACAGTACAAGGGTGCGAACTGAGACAGGGTGACTGGCTTTGTCCCAACTGACTTGGAACCCAGAAAGAACTGAATCACAGCCAACTGTACCAACACCTGCCCATAATAACATCTGGTGTATAGGCAAGAGACAATTTTGTTGAGAAGGCATAGCAAATACCTCTGCAGTTGTTAGCGATTTGTTATGTAATGAAACTGCATTGTACCACGACAATATTGCAATATGGTATAACACTGGCATTGTTGGTAAGATTTAAGTACCTCATGTAAATAAGTCAGATGATAATACTGACATTGACGATCAGTGGGAAATGACTGGCCTGCGGAAATACTGGATTTAGGTAAATATCAGCTAATTTATATACTAAATAGTGCTACATGAGTTCATCATAATGTACAAATAGTGGTAGATCAAGGGGTTGGGGGGAACAAGTAATCATATTGGTACAAAAATACAATGAGTTAGTTTCTTTAAATCTATCCCTGCCCCACATTGGCTCCTCCAAATGTTAGGCAAAGTCAGACTGTTACTGTTGCTCTATCTGTCATATAAATACTGTAATAAATGTAGGTAATCCAATAAATATCATTTTGCTCTGAGACAGCTAAGGTCAAGGGCCAGTGTAGTAAAGAATTAACTCAGTAGGCAGGCTTGGAGTACTTGAACCCTGCACATTCCAAAGATAGGACTGGCCTTTGACTGGCCTCTGGAAGATAACCTGTGAGCCCTTGAGATATACTGCCTGGTAAGAGTGTCTTATACTTGGGGCCTTGAGCAAAGCCAGATAGTTTATGCTAGTGATTTAATTTGTGGTGAATACCTGTTTTTGTTCGCCTAGGGCTCTAGGCCAATCTGTATCAGTTTGACCTCTGCAGGGTCTGGAGACTAAGAAGCCAGCGTCAGATGTGGGCACTCCACACCTACATGACTGACCCCCTGATACCAATGCTGGGATGAGCTTCCCTGGTTGGAAATACTTAACGTGTGTTGTCACACACCATTGCTGGAGGTGGTAAGCACTGTCCACACAACTCCACTGGGGGGACAACTGGAAGTGCAAGCCTGGTTCTCCTCGACTCCCCTATGAGTTTTCTCCCTTTGCTGATTTTAAACTATATCATTTCACTGTAATAAACTGTAACTGTGAGTAGAAAAGCTTTTCTGAGTTCTGCAAGTCTTGCTAGCAAATCATTAAGGCTGAAGGTGATCTTGGGGACTCCTGGCGCTATTGGAAAATGAATTTTTTCTTTTTAAAATAATACACAGGGGGTTTCCCTGGTGGCGCAGTGGTTGAGAGTCCGCCTGCCGATGCAGGGGACGCGGG